TGAGAAGCGTTTTAAAAGCTTTAAAACAAGCCCTTAAACAAAAGTTTTGGTTGAGATAAAGTGGAGAAACGGATTTCTGATGAAAATATCTCTGCTGCTATTTGATTTGCCTTTGAAAACCTGAAAGCTAAATTTATTTTTAAGGCTGTGTCAAAGTATTAGCAAATAATGGATTTTGGATGCAATTTTGTTTACAAGAGGTGGCTGGTTAAGTTCCTACGCTTTATTCAATTCATTAGTACGTCGCCAATGTTAGCTCAGTGTTTGATTTTTTTCACAAGTGTTAAAAGGGCAGTGTCGTATCGGCTTCAATCAAGCTGAAATGTTTCAGCTGTTAGTTTGAAACGCTCAAACTGTCGAGGAAACAAAGTTATGAGCAATTATCAGTAAGCTTTCCAATGTAAAAAAGGAAAGGGATTTTTTTTTAGTGGTGACTAACATTTTATCCAATGTTCATAAGTTGCCGCCATTTCTTTGATGAACGGTTGGTATAACTTTTAAAATGTGCTGCAGCAAAATGTAATGGTAAAGATCTTAGCATTGTTCTTCAGTAGCGAAATATTTTTATTAGTTTACAGAGGATGGACGTTTAAAAATTTGCAATTTTCAAACCAGACCTGGAGGACTCAATCGCGAACCCAAAACCTTCGATGTTTTTTTGCTACACATTGTGGTTTGACAAAATGGCTATGGCATCATGTGATATAAGTTGCGGCTTTCCACTTTATTTTAATTATAAAGCTAATTTTAACGAAAGAATAGTGTGTCAAAACATCAATCGAACATGAAACTGGAAACAAAGGAAATATATCGCACCTAACATCAAAGGACTTGGGATCGTACAAGCTAGCTACATTTTCGGAAATTGTTCATGCCATGAATAATGAATATTCAATTAGAAAAAAATAGAGTGCATATATGAATACGAAATTGACTCACAAAATGTGGGTACACACTTAAACTGCTCTGAGGTTGTGATGTTGTAGGCTTGCTTCACGTTGGTTTGGTATTTGCCACTTGCTAATCTAAGGCTCCACTTCTCCAGGCAAACTGGCCTGAACCCCGGATGTTCGGTTGTACATTGCAGCTCTTGTCCCTCTTCAAGATCAACCCAAACAATTTCACTCGTAAGCACCTCACAGCAGCATTCAATTTCTTTACAGCAATAGCATTTGCTAACGTTTCTCAAAAGGTCGCAGCTACAATTACTACAGGTACACCTAAAAGAAGTAATTCACATGCAGTTACTCCTTGTCTCACCAGATCCTCCAGATGCCGTCTACGACAGCGAGACCAAGTTACTAATAATATAGAAGTTAACTTACCAATCTTGGACACGTACAGAATTTTCCAAGCATTGTTTCAACTCATTTTCTACCTGATCTTTTTCCTCCCTCTCTTTCCTATACTTTGCAAGCCACGCTTCATCCACTAAAGGTTCATCCGCATTAGGTTCTAGCGAATTAGCTCTTGGTTGCGAGTCAGCTCTTGGTCGCGAGTCGTCCAGTTCCAAAACATAATCACTCACGCTTGCTTCAAGTTTGATTTGATATTGTTCGTTTCCGCTGCTATATCGGTTGCTTTCTGTTTCAGAAGAACTCTCCATGGAGGACATTACTTGGTCGGTTCATATATGATGATAGCAACTTTCATTGGTAGCCTCGTTTGTTTGTAGTAAACACGGGAGCCACGGCAACAAATGTTCCTGAATCTAGATCATTTATGAGCCCGTACTTTCTCGATCAGTGGAAAGGGTGTACCAAACAAAAATAGGATTGAAAAGATCATAAAAAACTTGCGCTTTGTTCAAATCGAAAATTTTTTTCACAGAAGTTCCTTTTATAATGTGGACTTTTGAATGACA